CTTCCCCGTCGTGAATGGTGCAACCTAAATAGAATACGAGTTGGTCATGGAATTTGTAACAAATCGCTGAATCAATGGGGTATAAATGCCAGCCCAGAATGTGACAAATGCAGCGCCGCTGAACAAACAATTAACCACATCGTCTTCGAGTGTCCAGCCACCAAGTTCTTTGGCAGCCTTCAAGAAATCCACCGACTTTAATTTTAAAAATTTTAATTTTATATGTTCTTGTGTCAGTGTTTACTTATTTACTTACTTATTTATTATTGTTATTGTCACTTTTTTTTCCTTTCCTTTATGTAAAAACTGCAATATGTAAAGTTCATACGAATAAATATATAGCATTTTTTTGTTAGAATAAACCGTTCTCTCAGAAACAACGTTTGAAGAAATCGGCAATTTTGAATGTCAGTTACGCCCGTGAAATTAATGCTCAATAAAATTTGTATCAGCTCGGAATTTTGTATTTGTATCTGGAAACATCTTTATGACACTGATCGAGCCATATTGGAATAATGGCCACAAAATTTACATGGACAACTGGTACAGCAGTCCATTACTGGCTGAAGCTTTATTAAAAAAAGACTAATTGTTGCGGAACTGTAAATCAGAATCGAAAATATGCCAAAATTTAAAAATAATCTGGAACATGGTTCTACACAATACTTTTCTAGTTTCTGTTTTTCCACTAAAAAACTCGTTTCATCCTGTTTTCTAAGAAAAATGTCACAAACATCCCTAACCTAAGACTATGTGATGAGGACCTAAAACGTGTAACGTCAATAAAATTCTTGAGCATGATATTTGAAGAAAATCTAAGCTGGAAACTTTATATAACAAATTTGATCTTATCTTGTCACAAGCGATTAAATCTTCTTAAAACTCTGGCCAATAAAGAATTAGGTGCGGATCGCCAAACACTTTTAATGTTATACAGAACATTAATCAGATCAAAATTAGATTATGGATCTACTGTGTATTCTACAGCCACTAAGACACTGCTAAAAAAACTTGACAGTCTTCACAACCTATCCTTACGTATAATATCTGGAGCTTTTCGCACAACACCAATCGAAAGTATTTATTGTGAAGTTGGTGAACCGTCCTTAGAAGACAGAAGACTTTATTTAAATGTAGCATAATATGCCACAAAAATCAGGTCTAACCCAAAAAACCCTACAATTAACAATTGTTTTACAGAAAAGTTTCCAAATCTCTTCATAAATATGCCAAGAACTGCCAAACCTTTCTACGCAAGGATTAGAAGCTATTTAAATCAATTAAACTACACATTCCCAGAATGCTTTTCTTCCCAATTGTCCTCAATTCCTCAATGGCAAATAAAGAATTTTCAGTGCCTAACCCAAGGTACAAGGACTATACACATATATACACAGATGCATCTAAATCAAATGAAGGTACAGGTGCTGCAATCAAACCCCAATATCGAAAAATAAATATAAACTCCCTTCAGAGTACTCCATTTACTCTGCTGAACTGTATGCTCTATACCAGGCTACCCTTGCTGTCAATGCATCCAATAACACCAATTATATCATACTCACAGACTCTCTAAGTTCAGTCCAGTCAATCCAATATGTCTACCCAACTAATCCTTTAGTCATCAAGATAAAAGAAGAAATGGAATACACCGCTCAACTGAATGGAAAAAATATTATATTATTTTGGATACCATCCCATATTGGAATTCCAGGAAATGAAGAGACAGACAACGCTGCAAAAGAAGCTGCAAGTAGTAATAGTGCGGAATGTACTAAGACATTTACGAGTGCGGACGTGAAAGCAACGGTAAAATTTAAAGTGCGATATATGTGGAAAGAAAAGTGGAAAGTGTCATCGGCAAAGCTACGCGATGTAAAAAAATCGATTAAACCCTGGCCCACATTACCAACAAGTTGAAGAGACCAGGTAATATTAACGCGACTTCGACTGGGTCATACGCGACTAACGAATAGCTACCTGTTCTCTAACAAACAAGAACCAAGATGTGGCAACTGTGATGAAAAAATAACAGTCAAACATATATTGGAAAAATGTCCAGCATTAACGCCAAAGCGCATATTGTACAGTATACCCAACAAACTAAGTGACATTTTAGGTTTACAGTGCAATATTTCAAACATAAAAAGTTTCTTAACCTCACTTAATATTTTAAATGCTATCTAAACTAATATTATAAATGTAATAAAAATTATTGTTTGCTAATAGCCAATTTGGCTGATGCGATTTGTTAATAATAAAAAAAAATACTTTTCTACTGACAAATCTTTGGCACTTAAATAGAAAGATAAAAGAGACGTTGTAATGTTGACAACCATGCTTAAAGCTAATATATCTAAAACCAAAAATAGCAGAAACCAAGAAGTTAAAAAACCTGAATGTATTATCGCGTACAATATGAATGTGGTTGGAGTCAACACAACAGACATGCTCCTAAGTTCTACTAAATCAGTAAGAAAAAACGTGAAATGGTACAAAAAGGTCTTTTTTCATATCCTTGACCTGGTTGTGCTAAATTCACATGCTAATTACAAAGTCAAATCTGGTAAAAACATTTCTCTATTCAATTTCCAGAGGGATTTGGTGAAACAAATTTTACAAAAATATAAACAAAGCACTCATCGACTGTCACGAAGTAACAGACCGAATGCTGGTGATGATTCATTACGGTTGGTATAAAGACATTTTCCTACGCTGTATTCGTTACCAGAAAACAGGCGACCTTTGTCAAAAAAATGTGCCTTTTGTGCCAAACGGAATATCTTGGCCACATATTAAGAGGAGAAAAGTACTATCTGCTTAGATTCATAATCCAAGGAAAAATCTCGGGAAAGAAAAATGTGGGACGTAGGAGGATTTCCTGGTTGCGAAATTTAAGGGGGTGGTATGGGTACAGTTGTTTAGAGCTGCAGCCAGCAAAGTAAAGATTGTTGTGATGGTAGTCAACCTCCGATAGGAGACGGTACTACAAGAAGAAGCAAAATTAGAAAAGAGACAAGGTACTTGTGTCTAACGTGTAATGTGCCTTTGTGTGTAATAAGTCGTTTTGAACGATATCATACAATTTTAAAATTTTTTGATGTTGAATTTGTTTCAAAATTGGAATTAATGTTTTTTTGTGCACATTTTTTTGGTTATTTCGCTTCTTTAATTCAAATAAAAATAATTTTTTTTAATATCTTACTTGTTCTTTTTTCCAATAACGCCAATACGAACAAAAACATAAATAAAAATAAATATATGTACTTACAACCATAATTACTGATTTTGACCGGGAAGCGGATCAATCAGCAAGTGTTGACTTTGCGCGTACTCTGAAACTACTACGTTTCACCTGATGCCGGCTCGAAAGGGTTAAAAGGTATGGAGCAGAAGTATGGCACTAAAAGCATCAAGTATTAACAGAATTGAAGCATTGGAAATGTGGAGTAATAAATGGATGCTACAGATACTGTGAACATCCAGAAAAACTTATGAGGAAGTACTAAGGAGGCTCAATAAAGATAAAGAATTGCTAAAGATTGCAAGACAGCGAAAAATATCTTATTAGTGTCTTAAAAATGCAAAATAGAGACGTGACAAAAGAAAATAGGTTTCTTAGTTAAAAAACATTCGTGAATGGACTCAAACATCAACTAGGATATCGAATGCAGGACAACCGCCATGGTGATCAACAACGTTGGATAATTATGGATACGGATATGGCACGAGAAGAAGAAGAAGAAAAGAAATAGCAAAAATATATTTTTTAATTACTCTATTAATGTATTGCAGGGAATTATTGGCGTTATATTACTTCTTACAGTAAATATGGATAAGACAGTTTATGTTCCATTTACAAGCTATAAGAGTGGTCTACAAGATTACAAATTTATAAAAATAAAAAATTTGAGTATTAATGCAGTGAGTAACACAAAATACCTTGGTGTTCAAATCGACTCGTATCTACGATGGGATATACACATAAACCAAAAGTGTAAAACATTGAGATGTCTATTGTACAAAATGCGATATTTACGTAATATACTGGATATCCATCATCTGAAGGTTATTTACTATTATTTGGTAGAATCGCGTCTACGTTATGGAATCCTTAGTTGGGGTGGAGTCGCAAATACATACCTCCACCAATTAGACATTATCCAGAGAAAAATATTAAAAATTATTTACAATAGACCTTCGAGATACCCTACTAATGATCTTTATACCGAACCTCAAATGTTAGATACAAGACAGTTGTATATTCTTACAATAATCACCAATTTATACAAAAATAAACACTTACTCACACCATTAGGGCATACCTATCATACGAGAAATAGAGCACAGTCTTTTGTCAAATTAAATATTGCAAAGAAAACAGTTCGTACACGAAATTTTGAGTATTTACAAGGAAGAATCTACAATTTGCTCCCTGAAATTTACAAAACATACCTAATCACTATAAACTCGCAAAAAATGATTAAGACATTGTTTACTAGGTATTTGAAACAAAATCATAGACAACTGTTCAGCCACCTTTTTGAGACCAATTAGGTCATAACTAACGTCAAATCAAGAATAGATTACGAAATCTTAAAAATTTATATATGCTATTATCTTAATTGATTGTATGCGTGAATTGTCTCTCTCTTGTTAATTAATTAATAAAAAATTTTTTGTTATTTTTTTTGTTTTATCTTAATATAGGTAATAATTATAACTAATAAAGTAGTAAAACTCGCCTTGCTGTAGGATCAATATAAATAAGCAATTTAAAAAATGGCCTATGCTCAACTTAATTGTTTTAATGGGCACTACTGTTTATTTACCTTGAACCAATTACAGATACAAAGTAAAAGTAATATTTTTTAAAATTTTATTGTCATTTAATTATTTTATTGTAACATTATTAATTGTATATTTCATGGAAATAAACGTTATTATTATTATTATGTAAATAGCTAGAACTATTATTTTATAATAAAAAACCTACATACCTCTAAATGTAAATTCATATCTATACGGTTGGCTGTATCCCAGTAAATCATGCTCTATGAAGATCCTATAATCTAGTACATCTCCATCAAATATTTCGATGTTAGTAGCTTCAAACACCCATGTGCCATTCTGAGGGCTTCTCTCCTTAGCAACAAAATCAACGGGTGGATTTTGACTAATTTTTCTGTTCAATGTTCCAGTAAATCCAAAAGCTTCTATGCCTTTTTCGTCTGGTATGCTTACACGAAAACCATTGGGTTTCAATATCTTTACACTTGGTTCCGGTATTTCGTATGACGACACTAATACACAAATATTGTAAAATACAAATATCGTAAAAATAAACATGTTTATCACCGATCGGCTTGCTTCTCGATTAAAATGTAATGATAATTGAAAAGATATTATACTAATTTATATTCTAAAATTTATGTGTTTTCGCTTATAATTTTTCGATTGGTCGACAGTGAAGCCCGATGTGGGTTTTTTCTCAGTAGAATTGCGACCGATTCGTTTATTCCGAAGAAAGTGGGAAATTCTGTATTCTATTTAATTTACAGAAATAAATACATTGTTTGAATTTTAACGGTACGTGTCTTTAAACTAGCTGCTTTTACAAAAGTAAAAGTAAAATAAAGTCGGTTCGCTATATTTATGCGGGTTTCGGATTAAAAATTTTATTGTAAGTACCCAGTTTTAATTACCTGCTCTTTGGGGAATCATGAACTGGTCAAATGAAATGAAAAATAATCCATAACTTTTTTTAATTAAATAAGAATGGAAAATCTTTTATATAATTGACAGTATAATAAGAAGAATTACTTCATTAATGGAGTCTAATGTGGCTAATATAAACCTAATAATAATTTTATATTACACTTCACACAGAAAATATGGTCTATGTATATTTGTTCCATGGAGAGAATTTCTAATGAAAAATAAAAAAATTTAACTTGCCAACAAAAATGAAAATCAGTCATTATCATCAAAAATATCATAATCGTCCTCATCATCACTGTCATTACCATTAATTGTTATTATGATTGGACTTACTTCGTTTATTTTATTTTCACGAGTCCACCAATCTTCTATTAGTGTCTCGCACTTGAATATACAGTTGCACCACACTTCTGGAGTTACAATTGAAAGTGCCTTTCGCCAAGTTTCCCAAACTGCTTCGTCGCTATAACCGTTAGGCCTAATACGGTTGTCATAATATTGTTTTGCTATTTCCCATATATTTCGAAAATACGTATAGCCCTGATGATCGCCAACCTTCGGAACGAAGATGGCACTTGAAGAAGAAGATATATATTCGATTGGATTAAACTGGCAATGATACGGTGGCAGACGTAAAACTTGATGTCCGTAACTTTCAATAATTTTGCGTGGATATTTGCCAAGCGTAATAATTCTGATTTTAAAATATGTTGTGTAAATGGTATATGTTCCTTTGTCAACCATTCTTTAATTTTATTAACAGTCCAAGAATTCGTTGGACTTTTGTTTAATACTTCGGAATGGTAAGGTGCATTGTCTAAATAATTACGCTGGGCTCACTTAAACCTGGGATAAGTTTTTCATGTAACCATTTTACAAACATTTCTGTGTTCATATTATCGTGATAGTCACTTGATTTTGATTTAGATGAAAATATTAAATCAGCACATTCTATAAAACCCGATTTCCCTCCTGCATGTAAAATTATGTGTCGCTTCCCTTCTCCATCAGTATGTTTGATAGGCTTTACGTTATCATCTTGCCATATTCTCTTGATTGCACCCCTAGAAAATATCCATGTCTCGTCTAAATATATAAAATTTGCCCATTCTTCTTTTAATTTAGAATATTTTCTTAGAAAGTTAATTCTTTTATGCACAACAGAACTTCTTTCACAAAGGGCTTTTCTGTTATCCTGCTTTTGAAATTTTATACACAAATTATGTACCACTTGCCATAGACTAGTTCTACCAATTTCGTCAAATTTTCTATCTTTTAATTCCGAGAGAATTGTATTCAAGTTCACATGTTCCTTGTTGGCTCGCAATCGATAAATGGTATCACGAATTTCAAATTTTTTTCCATCTGGAATATCTTTTGTTTTCAATGATAGGCGAGTTTTTCGGTGATCTACTTTCCGCCGTTCATTATTGCGATTTTGTAATACTCCTCTTGGTTTGGTTTCACTAATTCCTAAAGCATCACATACGCGTTGTTGAACAGACATTACCGATTTTAAAGGATAGCCATTTTCTTTTTCATCCGTAAAATACTTATGTACACTACAAATTAGACTATCTACATCTAGCATACGTCTAGGCATTTTTAAATATTTCCACCAAACATACAATGTCAACACTGGCAAAGAATCAATTCAACTGCAATATTGTAACAAATTTATACCTACCCTAATGTTATTTTATGTATTTTAAAATATGACCATTAATGCAGTTTTCATCTAATTTTCTGGGAAGTCGTTTACTGCAACTGGTTATCAATGAATTACTATTAAACTGGGAATAAGCCACAATTAAAGATAAAAATACGTTTATTGACGTTTCAATTTCCACTTCGGAAATCGTTTTCAAAATACAAACAGTAAATTATTAGTAAGTCAGTAACATATAGAGGATACATCATTTATGTTTTTAAATAACGCAACATATAAAATCAGAATTTTGATGTTTGTTGAAGGTAAACTAAATTAACGAACAAATACTTACAATGTCGGGATAGTATTATGAGGTTTTTTTCCTGGTTTTCCCTCATAATTTACTATGGACTCACTAACAGGAGAATTTTACTGTCATCATGTCATGTGTTTGTCTTTTTAAAGACGAATTACATGCTATGATTTTTTTCTGACGGATATTCTCAAGTTAAAGTTGATTTCATGTAATCGAATGAACTATCTTATAAGTAAAGTCGTCCCAGGAGCGCAACTCAACAATATTGGCAATATCATTTTAAAGTCGTCTACTTTAAAATGCATAATGTATGTCTGAATTGTCAATATAAATGAGTCAGATAAAATTAAATTATTAGAAGAATGTTTCACTATGTAACAAAAAACAAAATTTGTTTAATTTACTGTTTGTATTTTGAGAACGATTTCCGAAGTGGAAATTGAAACGTCAATAAACGTATTTTTATCTTTAATTGTAACTTATTCCCAGTTTAATAGTAATTAATTTACAATGCCACAAGAAAATAGCTTCAGAACAATGGTTATCAATGAGTTATTATCATAATTTTGTTAATCCGAAACCCGCGTAAATATAGCGAACCGACTATAAATATTACCGTGTGAATATAATAATACTGTTAAAATATCTTACTTAATATTTCGAACATTAAAGTGAATATTTTTTAATAATAACTTTCTCATGCAAACTTATAAATTCACCCAATATAAACATATTTAAAATAGTTCAGAGTCAGACCACTAAAAATCATACTAACAAATTACTACAAATTTTGCTGAGAATATCAACTTTTTTTTTAATTACCATATTGCTAGATTCCAGTAAGCGCCTAAGAAGGTATCCATTGAATTCTGACAGGCAACGGTGAGGGAAATCTTTTTTGGATATCTATGTCACGGATAAGATACACCGAGTAGGATACTAGGCCAGAAGATCCCAGGGTAGTGCCGGATTAACCATGTTCCGGCTAAAACCTTAACCACCGTTCCAGAGAGGTGATCTTGCCACTCAATAAACAACTAAAATAAAAAACTAAAACTTTATAAATAACCATATAAATAGCCATAAATTAGTAAATAATAATACCATAAATTTCACATCCCTGGCTCATCACCACAAAAATTAGACAGTGTACTTCTCTATATTCTTTCTCTCGTCTTAACATTACGTTTACAATGTTTCTTTCATCCAGCCCAAAACCCATTCGCCTCTCGAAATTTCCCATATCAGTTGCCCATCTCTGAATGTGGGCGGAGCGTTCGGTAGCCCACAAACATTACAGTCTGCCGATAAAGATTTGCCTTTTCTATTTGTGAAGGTGCCAAAACTACCATGTTCGGTCCAAAACTGCGCCAGAAAGTAGTCGAGTTTCCTAAATTTACATTCCCACCACGGTCTTAGATCGGGAATAAGCTCCTTCGTCCATCTTGCCTTTACACTATCATTCGCCCATTCTCTCTGCTGCCACTCTACTATCTTTCTTTCTCTCTCATTCTTATCTATATTTACATCCAACCTCCTTACAGACATCCTCGCTAGCTCTTCACACAACAAAACGATCGGTATCACACAACGACATATAGAGCCTGGTTTAAAACTGTCTTATATGCACTAGATACCCTGAGGAGCATTCATCTTTGCGAAGTCTCCATCAGCTTAGCATATTTTGCTGTATTTAGTTCACTAACCACACAGGGACAACGTAGATTACCACCGACTGGAAAACTCCATTTAGCACCTTTCTTTTGGTGCTACTTGAGCCTCCAATATTTGGCATTAGCCGTATCAACGCCTCCAGATTGCGGTTTGCCTTCTCTACTGTCTTTTGGATGTGTACTCCGAACCTTAGACAACCCTCATACCTTCCACTATAAGACGAAGAAAAGATTTTTCCTAGGTCCCTTTGCCGACTAAATCCTCAGTTTTCTGAGGCAGTTCTCTCTGATCTACCCACTAATGCGACGCATGGCTGTATTAGCCGCATTAGCTATGTCCGTTTTCTGACTTGCCTTCGCAACCAGTGCGAGATCATCGACATAAGCTACAAGAGTGCATTCGCTTCGCATCTGTAGCCTCAACATCCCGTCGTACCTGACATTCCACAGGATGGGACCTAGTACTGAATCCTGCGGAACACCCTGCGACAAACTGATGCTGGTATCTTTTTCTCTTAGTGACCTGTCAGTAAAGTATCTATCAATTACGTTGACCACTTACCCACTAACGTCCAATTCTGTATCCTACAGACTAAAGAGTCTTGTATCCTGCATCTATGGTGGACGTTTTGGACCTAAAACCATATTGGCGGTCGCTCAGCGCATGCTTTTCTTCTAGCTCGCGGCCTTTTCTAAGCTGTTCGTACAATTTAGCTATCGAACTAAGAAGGCAAATTGGCCGAAATCGCACCTCTTCCTTTTTGTCTCTACCTTTCGGGATAAGGACAACCTTAGCTTCTTTCAACATTGTTGGAAGCTGCTGTTGTTCAAGCATTTGAAGTAAATTTAAAGTAAAAATGCGTACAAGGTACGCATTTTTTATTATTAGTACTATTATTATGCTAGTCGAAAAATTAATATTAAATTACAATATCTTAATATGATATAAATGATAATCGACTAATTGGGGTTATTGAAATTTATTTATGCGCCACTGTTAAGTATGAATTTGAAAGCTACTATCTGAAATAATTACTGA